CGTTGTACATTTGCTGTTATTTTAAACTTATATTAAAGTTTTTCTTCATTACCCATTCAAGCCGTCTCCAGCCATTATTAGTCTCAAAGTGGGTTCCTCGTCACCGAATTTGAACACTTTGTGTATGTTTTGTTACAGAAAATTTAGTAATTTTTTAGTGTAAGGACGTGGCGCCATCTATGTATTTAGTTACCGTTATTTACGTGAAAGATAATAAATGTTCAATAACAGCAATAAGGGGGGCTGGAGATTGTTGTTAAACCCCATTGTTTCAAATTATCATCCCACAGATAGCCCTCGTGTAGCTTTGCGCAAAATACAAAAACAAACAGGAAATGAGAATTCTTTGCGAACTGCGGCAGGGCCAATCAGTCCTATGCTGACAGTTCATAAAACTCGTTTGTTAAATTAGTGAACATGATTAAAGAAACATTAAAATTAAAAAACACTAAAAATAAAATAAAACAAACATTGAATAAAATATTGATGTGTTCTTTTCTTCTGCACTTAAAAACATAACTAAAAAAAAACAAAAAAAACAGGTTTTCTTGAAGAAAAAAAAAGATCTATGACTATCGTGTTAAAACAGTGATCATGACAAAACGATTCGCGTTTCGTCCAGGCAGAGGTGTATAATATCCACAATAATTAATAAAATTATGAGGTAACAGATGGAAAATCAGGGCTTGCGCTTAACTTTTTGTTTTGGTAGCCAGTCAGACACACCGTACTTAGATATATCTTTTGGGTGGCCAGACAAAAGTTTAGGTAGCCAATGTATTTTTGCTTATTTCGTAACGAAACAACCCATAAATGAAAGAATCATACTATGATCTACAGACCTTTCTTACTTGTAGTACTAACAAAGATTCATTAAGAGAGAAAAACGTCAAAAAAAAAAGAGAGTAAGAAATAAATCATACTGTAAAATGTTGGCGTCTAGTGTGGTGCATACAATGGTGTAAAATAATTTGGTTTCTCAATTCCATCAAATAAATAGGATAAAAACTCGTATGATTGGTTGATGACGAATAAATATAAATAATCCAAGACAATGAGTGCACAGCTCTTTTTTTTTTTTTTCAGTCTCTATTGAAGGGTTCGCTCTTTGAACTTAAAAAAGTGTCACATCTCACACTTGGTGAGATCAGAACTTTTACTCTGGAAACTTGTACTTTGTCTTAAAAAGCAAAACACAACAAATTCCGAAATTCTTGCCACGTGCTTATAGTAAAACAGAAGAAGCTTGGAGATAAGTCAATATAAGACAATAGTCACTCAGAGCTGGATAAGGTACAAATATTGTTTTGCAATAAATGAAAAACTACATAGAATGATGTACTACAATACTGCAGGACTCCTTTAATTTGTAAAAGAAATCATCACGTTGTCTGTTCTAAGTTCAGCTTCTATAACTACGTCCAATACTCTACTTCGAGTAATAACTTTCTCAAACGTTAGCTCACTCGCTAAGCCTACAGAGTTTGAATACATTGATGAAAAAAAGAGTTAGTGACAATTAATAGAATCACTTTCTTTTCTTGGTCATATTACTTGTCTCTCTCATGCTTTCTCTTTGATGTTCCTCACTCTGCTTTACAACATTTCTCATATATCGCCACTAATTAAATTACATCCAATATTAAGACAGTTACACGAATGAACAATTCTGCATCATCAAGTCAAACACTCTTTACAATATGAAACAATGACCCTTTATATTCCATAAACAATATTAGCAAATTTCATTTATGTCTACTGCTACTCATCTGCCACCACTTTCATCACATTTATACACAACATCCAACCCTTCATCCGTGTTGTCTCAAGACATGCATTCATTCATCATCACATTCTTTTCTCTCCATTCTGTTCAATTACATAATCATAGCAACCACCAACTCAAGGTATTATCCACCCCCGAAAAAAAACACAGGATAAACAAAGACCAAGAGTGACATCCTACATCATAAATCAGAGCAATCCTAGGCTAATAATGCTTTTTTTAAAATTTGTCATATCCATAGTTTTCATTTTCTAGGACGAATATCCTTGGATCCATGTTTCTTTTGTCGATTTCTGTACCACCAAAATATAAATTTGAAATCTTGCTTTATTCCCCCATCACCACCACCACCACACACACACACACACACACACACACCTGGTTTAGTTGCAGGTGGTACCTACATGTATACTTGTACCTAAATTCCAGGAATAATCCCTTTCCCTAGAGAAACCACAGATATTTTTATCCTCTTTCATGGACTTTTTCAAGTTATTTTACCCCCTTTCTGTGGATTTTAGAAATTTTACTCCATTATAAAGAGATTGCGATGATTTCGAGACCCCTTTGTTAATTTTTTTGGGAACGAAGCTTCAACTATCCTTGTTTGCAAAAAATTGGAAGGTGCATGAAGCCTTTCAAAGCCTGGAGCTGGGACAAGGATCCATCACATACAGTGCAACATGTAGCTGAAGTTTCGTTAATGTTTGTGTCATGCATGGCATCTACTTCCACCGCACTGGCAGATATGCTGTACCCGATTCGAGCTGGCCGAGTGACAGCTCAGATAGGATCTTAGTCTGTGCTCACCATTGTGCAGATGTATCCAACCCTTTGGATAATGGTGAGAAATTGACTCGATACATGATAATTGCCAGTAATTCTCGGGATGACTGTTGTTCTCATACTTGTCTCATGACATAAGATTATTTATCTTGTAGGGGAAATAAAGATTTTCATGAGCAAATTTTTAGCGGCCACATGGACCACCATTAATATCAAGCTTTGATAATATGGATGTGTGTGTATACGTTCAGGAGATTCCACTGTACAATATCAAACTATGTCTTTCAGTACAATCTGCTTTTGTATTTTACTTACACAAACTACAGACGTGTCTCAAAAAATTTTCAATTATAAATAATTATAAAATTTCAATTATATATATTACATATATCTATAGAAGTTTTGTTAGGTTTGAACTGAAGAGGGTAAAATCTGGATAAAAAATTCTTCATGTTTTTTAAAGACAAATATATTGTACATCCTTCTTAAAGAATTGAAAATGATAAAAAATTTGAGAATATGTTTACCTATGGCTTTCATAACTTACATTTCCAAGTTAAGTGACTTTGTTGATGTTCACTAAAACGTTAGGAATTCTCCACTTACTACTTGGTGGTATTTACACTCACTAATGAGTGAAAATTATATATAATCTATATATATACAGGGTTATTATGAAGCTAGATTGACTACTCTAATATTCATAACTTGAAACTAGTTATCAGAGTCCTATGTATTTGGTAGATGAACTAATAAGACAATATGTAAAATGATTCCAGTGCCAAAAATAATTGCCAACAGGTGGCAATGACCACAAAGGTTAAATAGCTAGCATTATTAACAATGTTTGATGTAACAATCAATCATGTCCACTACTGCCTACATTCATAGAGAATCTAATATGTAGTTAAACATCGTGTTTCCAACAGTTGCACTTGGAATGTTATCTTTCATATCTGTTTATGTGTCATGATAAACCAATGACTTAAGGTGGCCTTGTGGGTGAGACCTGCAGATCCTGCTGGATATGTGTGGTGAATATTCAATCTCCAAATGCATGTATCAGTAACAACATCTTGACAGTCATTTGTAATGAGAAGTGGAAAACTATCTTGCATGAAACCATTCAGGGAAGAAAAGTTTTGACTGTGATCCAAGTTTCATCACTGGCAGATCGCATTTGTTAACATTTTTCTTCTCAAATTCCATTAATCCTTATTGGTGCACAGTCCTCTTTGTTCACAGCTTTCATGTTGAATGGATCCCAATGCAATAATAGTTTTATTACCACTGTTGTAATAATAATTTACAAGAGCAATTTTAAAGTTATGAGATAATCTGTTAGGAGACATTTTTGCAGATAGATTGAATTAATACTGGTTTTATAGCACTCTTTGATATGAACACTACTATCAGCAGGTCCTATAATCTTATTAATTTATCTATCACATATTATAGCTCTCTGGTGATTAGTGTTTAAGTTAAAAGTCATTACAGTATACCAACTAATTTTATAGGAAACACAGATACTAAAACATATATAGCTGATGAATCATTAAATCTAAGTTACAGTCATTATCATTAAATGTGGTGATGAAACTGAATTATAAAATTGAAGTTTTTCACAAATGGGCAGAACAAGCTTTTACTTGTTTAACAAAACATCATACAAAGCCATAAGTAAAAAAAATTAACAGAAAATCTGTGTGTGTACAAGATTTTTGCTAAGGTAATACTAAATTAAACTATCAACATGGTAGAAATGTGTATTCCTAATGAGCAAATATATTTCAATAAATACACAACCTCTACCTATACATATATATATATATATATATAGCTTAAAAAACCTAAGAAAAATTTAATGATTTATGAACACATTTTGAATTTAAACATTAAATATACATAACTATATCCCATCCACAGGCAACACTTCAAAGTTGTCATTTATTAAATTACTTCATACTTAATGAAGACCAAAGTTACGATATACATAACACAATACTCAATTTTTCCTTCCAGTTTAGAAACACCAACTAAGGTACAACTTCAAAACTAGTATCTCAATTATGTCTCATTTATACATGAAAAATACATTTTATCAATTTTAGACATTTAATTAGATTAATAAACATATGAGTACTTGTTACTAATTCTAAATGTTTTATTAATTTATGACTTCTAGTTATTTTTGAAAAACCGTATTTAACAGAAAACAAATATTTCAAATGCTGCAGTACAAAATAGCAATTTATTTTATTCAAGCTTGAATGATAAAACAACATGAAAGTAAGTATACAATGCACTTCTCAGCATTTTAATTAGAAACTTTGTAACCTCTATCTGAATATTCAAAAATTACCTCTAGTAAATGAAATACTATAGCCTACAAATCTCCTAAAACAACAACTAACAAACTACATTCTTCAATTTTATCATATGATCTTACTACAGGCTAGTTAGGGTTTAGCAATGAAGAAACCAATGAATCTTGTATGAGAAAAAATTTTTGTAGCAGCATGTTCTTATAAAAAAAAAAAAGACGATTTCATAAAAGCACATTAAATGCACTGCAGTCACAAGATACACTATTAGTTTCAAAAAAATGTGAAAAACAAATCTCTATTTTAGCTAACCCAACTCCTCTTTATTTTCCAAACATATTACACTCCTGTTATTTCAGTTACATAACAAACTGCTAAATTAAAATCATCAATTTATTAACTTTGATGTACAAGTCTATAATAGCTAGTGTACTTTCTCAAAAAGTTGTGATTTGTGGTTTCACCAAATTTTTCAACCCTTTATTTTATCAAATTTTTCTTAACTTTCATTAAATGGTATATATATAATCTTGTTCATAATGCATAATAATTTAACACAAAAACACAAAGTATACTGAACTGGAAAAGTTGGTTCTTATAAAAAAAAAATTAGAAAAATGTTCTTGGGAAGAAGAAAGAAAACCTTTTCAAGATTTATATTTACTAACCCTTATTCTTGATGCCAATTCTATCAATTACTAGAGAATTACTTACTAAGCTTTTCTTGTTACAAAACTGATAAAAGAATCATGAAGAAAAAAGTCAAGAGTGAAAACAGTTTGTTCCCTAAATGTTCTATAAGAAGTTTTTAAAGTAAGATTAATTAGTTTATGCTGAAGATGTTCCAAACAATAATTTATAAAAGTACAATAAAGATTCACATTAAAATTAATCATAGTGATGCAAAACTTCTGTTGAAACTATGTTGTTAAAAACAAAAGACATTATCAGAATAAATAATAATTTCATAACTCTTTTTTTCAAAAAAGAGAAATGCACCACATAGATGAATTTATACACTTTAAAACAAAAGGCTATTTGCTTGAAACTAATACATGTATAATATTTACTACACTTCAACGAAAGACATATTTAAAAAGTCTATATCACAACAGTTCTGCCAAAATAATTTAAACTACCAATAGAAATACTGAGAACTGGAATCATTAGAGTAACCAGTGACACCAAGGAATGTGGAACAGTAACAGACACTGGATCCTGCTATCTCCAAACTGTCAACCACAAGTAATTAAAAATTCAGCAAAGTATATTAAACAAGCAAACAACCATACTTTTCATGGATATGGACAAGTTTTTGTGACTAGTTTGGATTTCATGATATGGCTTTAGCCTGTGGCAGGAATGCTTCCCAATATTTGATCAGCTGTAAAAAACAAAACAAGAATGAGATATTTCGCATCAACTTTATCCCATGTAGAGCAATGAAAAGTAAAATACCCGACATAAAAATAAACATTTTTTAAAAATCTTTATTACTTCTTGTGCAGACTAACATTACTATTGTTATTTGTGACCAACAGAATTGCAAATTTTAAGTTCTAATTGTAATCATTTATTGCATGGCCTAAAGAATTATCACTCAAACTTAAGTGATTGTTCACAAGCTGCAGATTAAAAACAAAAGATTTTCACTTACAAAGTAATCATAAAGAGTAAAAAGTTTATTCTGGTCAACTATTTCCTTTTAAAGACAAAAACATAATGAAAATATATTACTTTTAAAGCTTCAAAAGGAAATGTATTTTACTGGTTTTATGACTAAAACGGGATCGTTAAAGTAGCTGACATGGTAACCAGTTTTAGTAGTTTTATTGCAGATTATTACCCTTATAATAAATACCACATAGAATTAAAACAAAACCCTAAGTAAAAAGTTTAGCTGTTTCATAGCTACCATGAACCCCTCTTCATACACAAAATAATCAGGAGTAAACAGTTCATCACTTAACATTCTTGATAATCTTTATGAGGTTAAAGAACATTTGGATAACGTTTTTTATTATATATTTGCATTTATAAATATCATGTAGCCACAGTATGAAAATAAGAATAAAATTATTTTATCAGCATTACTTTATTATACAAGATATTCCTGTTTAATACTGTCAAATGAGGTACACACAAAAAATATAATAAAAAACAAAGAAGTAAAATTTGCCAACCTCTTGTTGATTGTTTAGTAGAGATTCCATGTACTTGACAATTGTATCTTTAAAGTCACGAATACGACAATTTTCAAAATGTTCAACTTCTTTTCGAATCATTTTAGAAATATTTTCAAACTCCTCCTGTCCTCTTTCCACTTTGGCTTCCCACTACAATAGCAAAATAGAACAAAACATTATGCATATTTCGCTAAAAGCATGTAAAACAATCATTTTATAAAATTTAATGTAAAAAAGAAGGGAAACTGAAGCTTATGGTAATCAAGATGTGGAAGCTTAGATGGAAAAAGCATCTGTCCAGTTAGCAGAGTTATAGATATAAATTGTCTGATTTTATCCACTTCTTAAAAGTTCTAACTTAATTCACAGGATGTGGTGTTCTGCTACTCTTAAAAATTCCTGTAGTTAAATTTAGTAGGACTTAATCCATTCTTAGATGTAGAAATATACTTCTAGTAGAAAATAAAAAAAATCAAGTGAGATGTTTGTACAGAATACTGTAAAGCTTACTGTACGAGTGTTGCCATTTTCAGGAAATCCAACTCCAGTTTAAATAATCTATTTCTTTTTTTATCAAATAAGTAAACTGATTTTATTAAATTTACTATATGTTTTGTGCAATAACTTCAACACAATTTTAAGGTCAAAATAAAGGGTCTATAATTATATTTATTTTTTTTGTCTGTCAGCACTTGATTACTGTATCAAATAGTTTTAAGTGAACTGATTATACTAAATCTATTATATGTTTTGGACAATAGCTTCAACACAATTTTTGGGTCAAAATAAAGGGTCTTTAATTATATTTACCTTTTGGATTGTCAATACTGTGATAAAAGTATTAAATATCAAACTCAAAATTAATTTAAAATTTACAGGCCTCACTCGTAGCTAACTTAGGAATTTGTGGCTAACTTAGGTATGATGGTTAATTTCTTGATATTTTTAAATAGACAAATGAATATTTTCATTAACGTTTTTAAGGATATTACCTGGTTGGAAATCTATATGAGTAATTTATCCTATATCAGGCAGTAGATATTATTATTATTTACTTTTCTAAGCATAAGTGTTTATGTATTTAAAAGAGTCAACATCTATACCATTTCTTTTATTAATAAATTACTGAAGTGAAAATGAGAATGTAACTTGATCAGTCAGTTAGAATTCTGTTGAAAGGTTCATTGGATGCTTGTAATGAGGTATATAAATTGGGGTGTGTATCTCAACATAGTAGTCTAGTCGACACACTACATATCTAGATACAGAAATTTTACTAATGGTTTGTTACAAAGTTTGACAGTCTTGTCTGTAATTTATTACTAACATTGTCTTATTTAAATACTTCATACTTTACAGTGCTTTTTCAAATTCTCAGGTTTGATCAACTATATGGCAGCTGACAAGAGAAGTAAAATTAAAAAAAAGTTAATACCTGTCTATTTTGTTATTGTTTATTTGACTTTGCATCTAATGTTTTTGATAAAAGAAATGAAGACAACATGTAGTATTCAATATTAATCTTCCTTTATTGAGTCATTAATTTTTAGCAAAAATACTGAAATTCAGATTTTTTTCTGTATAAAAGACTGTTAACATTTACTTAAAGCTTGCCAAATTTTTGAAGATACATAAATCATATTGTATTGTACTAGATGATGTATTGATACAATCATATCATGGTTTCACGATACAATACTCGTATCATATCACTGTATTGCCACACCTTTAGTGTATATATATATATAAGTGGCTGATATTGATGGATCAGATGACATTCAATGTACAGAGCTGCTGCCTTCACCTGAATGGTAGACACAGAAATTGTGCATTAGCATGAAAAAATAATGTTTGAATGGATATTACCACACGTAATTAATAAGGAAAGTGGAAAGCTGCAGACTGGAGATGGATAACAAACAATGTTGACAAAAATGTATTACATGAGAAAGCTTTAATATAATATACTAAATGTTGCCTAACTATAGGAAAGCCATTGGAAAACAAATGAAATTTTTTGTTATGCTCTAACATAAAGTTAGGCTCTACTAATTTTATTTCAGTTTATTTTAAAAGTTGTATTTAGCCCTTAAGGCTATGTAAATACCTGTTGGCACTCAGACTTTCAACTGAAGTGAAACTGTCAATTGCTCTAAAAATTGTCATTTGTTTAATAAATAAATGTCTTCAATTAAGATGTTTTAATGTCAGTAAAAAACAATATAAGCACAAAAGAATGAATGAATTATTAAACTGGACAAAACATACTGAAACAAAGTTCAGGCAAAATTTACTCCACTGTAATACTGCATGTAACTGTTGACTGTGACTGGCATGATGCAAACAACTATGATGTGGACCACAGTGGCTGGCAGTAGTTTCCACTACCACTGGCCAGTATTTCTCTGAGTAGACAATAATGAGTTACAGGTTAAAAATTTGGAAAGTTTACCACATCAAAAAATTCCAGCTGACAAACAGTGTCCAAGATTAATGAAACGATTGCCACAAACTTATGAGAATCTTACTAAGTGTTTGGATTTGCAACTAATCTGACACAGATGATTTGCCAGCACTTTCAGCAGCCAGTTGGAAGATCTCACTCTAGGATTAGTTCAAACCTATGGCTACTGTTTATAGCTGACAGTCTGTTTATGGCCACAACAGTTGCTATGTGCAGACAGATTAGTTTAATCACACATCAATGTCAGTGGAGTTACAGTTGATCACTGCCCTTAATGAATCAAATGGCAGAAAACAAACCAATCTACTCCTGGTTGTTTTCAGGCAATATAAATGTACGAGGCCTGTGAGAAAAGTATCCGACCTTATTTTTTTTTGCGATAACCTGATGGATTTGAATCAAGCACGCTTGCATGAGCCGACCTTGAACCTTCGTGCGCATGCGTGAATTTTTTCCCGCTTGTTGATTGCGTCAGTTGTTGGCAAGCAGCCATTGAGTGAGGTAGTGTGTAGTGCTCTCATCGGTTTTTCATTGCAAGGAAAATGACGGAACCACTGGA